ATTTATACAGGAACATCGTGTGCTGCGTAAGAGAAGGTTACCAAAAAGCTTGTAGGAGGACTGGTGCAGTGATGTGGAAGGGTAATCCCATATGGGTGCAGGTACCATAAGGCTTGGGCTGTCCTCCACTGCCTTCCCGGGCCACAAGCAGGGAGCTGGATGGGAAGTGGAGCAGCTGGGACACAATCCAGCGCCCACATGGGATCCTGGAACCTGCAAAATGAAGATTGAGCCACTGAGCCATTGCATTAGGCCTCACCAGCATTTATCAATCAGCTCAAAGTGTTGAGCACCAGAAGTGATGCTGAGTGAGCTGACACTTAGCACCCACCAGGGGGGTTAGAACCACGCTGACAGAACAGAGCAAGTGTGAATGAGCTGGAGGCCTGGAATCCTCAGAACTGCCAGGGAGTTGCCAAAATGGGGAACTGCCCTATAACCAAGCAATTATCCTGACTGCATGCATTTGCATTCTGTTGGCTGTATCTTCACTTTGTTGATTAACACCACACATTTAAATGATTGTACTTTAATAATAGTTAATCTTACAAATTGAATTGTAGGGGTCAACGCAGTGTGTAGCAGGCTTATCCTTTGCCTGTGGTACAGGCATCCTACATGGGAGTTGGATTCTAGTCCTAGCTGCTCCACTTCCAATTCATTTCCCCGATAACGGCCTGGGAAAGCAGCAACGGATGGCCCAAGGCCTCGTGGTCTTGATCCCATATGGGAGACCCAAGAGGCTCCAGGATCCTGGCTTTAGACTGGCCCAGCTCTGGCCATTGTGGCCATTTGGGGAAATAACGAGCAGATGCAAGGTCTCTCTATCTCTCTCTGACTTTCAGGTAAAACAGATAAATCTTAATACAAAAACCAAAAGAAATCATAAAAAAATAAAAATGTTTCCTGGGGGAGCCTTGCATGGTAGCCTAGTGGTTAAAGCCATTGTTTTGCAAGCGCCGGGATCCCATAATGGGCCCCAGTTCCATTCCCAGCAGCCCTGCTTCCCATCCCAATTCCTTGCCTGCGGCCTGGGAAAGCAGTCGAGGATGACCCAAAGCCTTGGGACCTTGCACCTGTGTGGGAGACCTGGAGGAGGCTCCTGGCTTCAGATCAGTGCAGCTCCAGCTGTTGTGGCCACTTGGGAGAGTGAGTCAACAGACAGAATATCTTCCTCTCTATATCTGACTTTCCAGTAAAATTAAATCTTAAAAAAAAAAAAATGCTTCTTGGGAGATGCCACCTTAGCCTGATGGGTCAGGGATTTATATTAAATGATCCCCACATGATTCTGCTTGAGCAGCTAGCTCTAAAAAATACAGATAACTTAGGAAACACAGATATTCAGCTATACATATTTTTATGACGAGATCGGGCACGTTCAGGGTGGTATGGCCGTTGACTCAGCTGTACATATTTTTAAAGAGTCATTTATTTTTAGTGGAAGGGCAGATTTACAGAGAGGAGACAGAAAGATTTTCTATCTATCTCCAGGTGACTGCAAGGCCCAGAGCTGGGCTGAAACTGAGGAATAAGCATCTCCAGGAAGTGTATGTATCTCTATGAAAACATACACCTGGGCCTGGCACAATAGCGTAATGGTTAAAGTCCTTGCCTTGAACACGCCGGGATCCCATTTGGGCACTGGTTCTAATCCCGGCAGCTCCACTTCCCATCCAGCTCCCCGCTTGTGGCCTGGGAAGGCAGTCGAGGATGGCCCAAGGCTTTTAGACCCTGCTCCCGCGCGGGAGACCTGGAAGAAGTTCCTGGATCCTGGCTTAGGATCGGCATAGCATCGGCCATTGCGCTCACTTGGGGAGTGAATCATCGGAGGGAAGATCTTCCTCTCTGTCTCTCCTCCTCTCTGTATATCTGACTTTGTAATAAAATAAATAAATCTTAAAAAAAAAATAATTAATCTTAAAGAAAATATACCTTCCCATCAAATTACATTTAAATCTTCCCTAGCAGCTTTATTCTAATAGAAGCATAAATAGGCGGTAGACTGCAGACAGGCGGCTGGTGCCCTAGGCTTGGGGCACGTGCTGATCCAGCCAGATATGGTGGCTGTGCATTGTCCTGGAGGGAAGTTTAGATGGGTGGCAGGACCACTGAGGAAGTACATTACAGGTGAGGAGCAACTTCTGGGGGGAGCCACTGTAATTGCAGGACAACGAGGGGCTGCAATTGGGTGGCTTGGAGAGGGGTAAGCCGGCAGACATGTCTGGGTCAGATCAGGACCTGCCCCTGTGGGAAACCTGGATTCAGCTAGCTGGCATTGATCACAGCCCATTGACACACACGAATACTAGGGCTGGGGGCTGCCCGGCAGGACTAAGCTATGGTATCTGGCATTGAGTATCAGGTTAGCACGTGGGCCATGACACTAACCAGTATAAGAGAACTGGGTCATGGCGTAGTTTATGGGGGAATTTGTGGACTCATCCCTACGGGACTGCTAAGCATGACCATGGAACTCACCAACACTCATGGGAACCGGAGTTCAGAGTAGGCCAGGTTGGTCCAAGTTGCAGCATCTGCAGGTGCACCCAAGAATTGGGTACAGGGATGGGCCAGGATGTAGTATCCACCAGCATTCACAAAAGCCATGCCAGGCTGGGTTGGAGCAACCACTGGCATGTGCAATACCTGTGGCTGGAAGCAGGCCTCGTTGGGGAACTAAGAGAAATGTCCCTACTGGGCTACAGTTCCCACTGGTAAGTACGAGAGTTGGAGTTGGGGCAGCAAACTTGGTTAGACATGGCTGCAGCATCCCTTGGCATGAGCACGGGCTGGGTCTGGAGTGTGCCAGACTGAGCTAGGCACCAGTACCCACTGGTGCATGGGAGAGCCAGAGTGGGTATAGGATAGGCAGGTTTTGGCACCTGTGGAACCAAATGAGAGCTGGGATAGGGGTGGACCAGGTGGGGCCACTGGGTTGTAGCACCCACTAGTAAGAGCCAGAATGGGTGTGGACCAATTAGGCAAGGCCACTGCACCTGCCAGTGAATGCCAGGACAGGTGAGCCAAGCCAGGCTGGGCCACGAACCCACTGGTGTGCACAAGATCTGCCACTGGGAAGTGACCTGATAAAGGAGCTTGGGAAACTGTCAGGACACAGTCCTCATTGGTATGAACCGAGGCTGGGAGCAGTCTGGATTAGGCCAGGTTATGATACCCACCAGTATACGTTTGGGTCAGGTCTGAGAGCGGGCTGGGCTGGGCCAGCTTGTAGCACCCACTGGTAGACATGGAATTCAGGATGGGTGCAGGACAGGATGGGCTGGGCCACAACACCAGCCAGCTCACTTTAAGGCTGGGACTTAGGGCTGGCAGGAATGGGACAGGCTGCATGAGCTGGAAACGGGGGCAAGCTGGGCTGACCCAGGATGTAGCACCTCCTGGCAAATGTCAAGGTGAGGTGGACAAAAGATCATTTTGTCTCTCCTCTCTGTAAATCTACCTTTCCAAAAACAAAACAAAACAAAAACCTTAAAAAAAAAAAAACAGCTTTAAATGGTAACCTTTAAAAAAAAATTACTTTTATTGGAAAGGCAGGTATATAAAAAGAGATAGTGGATAGAACACTAGTCCACTTCCCAGTTGGCCACAATGGCTGGAACTTAAGCCAATCTGAAGCCAGGAGCCAGGAGCTTCTTCTGGGTCTCCCATGTGGGTGCAGCATCCCAAGGCTTCCACTGCTTTCCCAGGCCACAAGCAGGGAGCTGGATGAGTGGATCAGCTGGGACACAAACTGGCACCCACAGGGGATCCCGGTGGTTGCAAGGTGAGGGTTTAGCTACTAGGCCATCACGCTGGGCCCCAAATGGTGATTTTATGGCACGTGAATTGTATTTTAGATAAAATCTAGATGCCTTTTAGTCATCTAACCTGACATTTGCTGTGATTACAGGATGGGCATGTGCTGCAAAGCACAACGCTGAAGGAGCTCCAAGTCAAGACAAAGCAGCTTCCCAATCCCCCGGCGGAGAGCTGGAGCAGACATGCTGGCCCAGCCGGTCCGAAGCATGTACTCAGGCCTCAGAACAGGGAAGCGCAAGCTCCTGGTTACTGCGTCCATGCTTCAGGTTTAAATCCAAACCAAACCAAACCTCTGAGGACTGTTAATTCCTGAAATTAACATTTGAGACATTTTCCTTTCCCTTTTGACCCTAACTTGCTGAAGCATCATCAAATCACCCATTGGGTTCCTGGTGTCAAATATCCCCCTTTTAATTCTCCAGTTTTGTCACGCCCACGCTCCTATCGACCCGCAATAAGAGGCAGACGCGAGTGAAGTCTTCCGCGGTAGTCTTTATTGTGCACACCAAGATGATGAAGAGGAAGGCCCCGACCCAGCTCGTGCTCTCGCTCTTATCGGGGGTGGCTCCGCCCAAGTGGCGGCTTATTGGTGAGCCTCTAGACCACGCGCCAATCCTGCAGTTTGGATAGGGCAAGAGGCCTGTGCACGCGCTGATCACGCCGCTGTTCACGCGTCAGCCCTCAGCGCATGTGCAAGCGCCTGCGCAATACTCTCCAATGTACGTGACAGGAGCTACTCCTGCTGACGTGTTTATTTCCGCCAGGCGCCATCTTTAGGCCACCGCGTGTGGCAATCAACATCACCGCGTGTGGCAATCAACACAGTTTTCCTCATGTTATACTCGGCTCTGCAACATCTCACATGTAAAATCAACTGAGTTTTGGACAGCCAAATCCCAGAAGCTGTGGTCAGTCTTCACTCCCCGTCATGTGCCAGGTTTCTGCTGCAGGGGCTCAGCAGCCTCAGCCTTCACCAACTCTGCCTGCTCCAATGCTCCAATGCACCCCGCCCTTGGGCTCCGCTGCACTCCACAGCAAAGCCATCCACCACCCTTCACTCCCTTGCCCAACGCCCACCCTGTCAAAGGGTTAAAGTGTGCATCACAGAATTTCTAAGAAAAGCAAGCTTCCTGCAGTATAAGACAAATAACTAAAGGTGAACAGCACACATTTTTAAATTTAGAAATTTATTGTTTAATCCACAAGCTTTATATAGCTTTAGTTTAAAAAAAAAATCAACCAAACAAACAAAACAAAAAAAAAGTGAAACCAAGACACTATTTCCAAGTCCGAGGTCCGAGTCCTTCCAGCCTTCCCAACACCAGCACTCTGAGGCTGTATGTACCACGTGGAAGAACAAGACAGTATGAATGGAGCCATGACAATTCACAAAAAAAAAAAAAAAAAATTATGTAACTGAAGGATCCTTCCTGGAACTCGTTAACTGCCTTTACAAGAGAAAAAACAAACAAAAAAGAACACCCTAGAACAGAACAGAACGAAATTCCAGTGTTCCAAATCGACTTGTTCCACATGGACAGAGACCCACAGTGGCAGAGGACCGGCTTTCCTTGCTGTCTCTTAGAGCTCCAATTCTGATTCACGTCAGCAGAGACTCCACAGGCAACAAGGGAGGAAGATTGTGGCATTAAGACACTCATGTACACTTCTCTCTAAACAGTGGTCTTATTTCTGGGTAAGCTCACAAACCATGAGGTTGGAAGTATAACTTAAAAATGAGTGCTAAGAGACTCAAATGAGAAAAAAAAAATAAAAATTAAAAAAAAAAAAAAAAAAAGAGGGAGAGAAAAACCCCTTTGGAAAAGCCAGGGGCAATTAAAGGAACCATAAGAATGCCAACAGTATTTGAACCCCCTTTTTTAAAAAGGGAATTTTTTTTGGCTTAAAATATTTCACTCTAAATGAATTTATGTCAGCTGTCAATGAAAGAATGTCACTAATACACTGTGGACACCTTTTGCAATGTAAATCCATGCCCTTTTTTTACATGGTGAACTTCAACCTAGCAATTATTACAACAAATGTTATAGTCTAAAGCTCAAACACATTTTAGCAATTTTGAAATTGAATTGCGTACAAACCAAATAAAATTTACATCGTAAGGAACATTCCACCTAAGACTGTGGGGACACCTGCGCCTTGCGCATGGACCGCAGGGCCTTCTCCCGGAGGTGCTTCTCCAGGTCATCAAGGTTATCCTCAGGTTCACTCTCTGTCTCCTGCAAAAGCCAGAACAGCCACAGGTAAGATGCAAGACAGTAAATGGACGACCAAGAACTGACAACAAAAGCAAAAAACTACAGAGAGCTTCTCGATAGACACATGTGTTCTCTTTGGTCCTGGCAAACTCTTGTCCTTGGCGGGTCAGAGGGAAACGCATCAGTATCATCAGAATGGCTAACAAAAGCAAATGAATAAAAACCCCAATTTTGTGCCTTTTCAAAACCGATTCTACCATGCAGACAGGTGACAGCACGTGCGCACGCAGCGCCCACACACCTTCCTGGGCTCCGACGCTGCTGCCTCTGCCTCCTCCTGCACCGACGTGGCCGCGGCGGTGGCGGCAGGGCTCACAGCAGAAGATGCAGCCGCGGCCGCAGCCTTCTCCTTCTTGTGTTTTTTGTGCTTCTTGTGTTTCTTGTCCTTTTTGTGTTTCTTGTCCTTCTTTTTCTTCTTTTTCTTTCCACCTCCTTCTTGATCGGAATTCTAGAAATTCAGGAAAGTAACATCCTGATTAAACTTCAACTGAACAGTCCACTGCCAAGGACTCAGGATTTCCGTCTGGGATTAGGGAAGGAAAAGGTACAAGCTGCCCACCCGCCCCCCGGCATTAAGTATCCATGGCCATGGGGGTGGGAGACACACGGACACCAAAGGCCTGTTCACAGCTTTTAAGATGAGCAAAGGGTCTTCAAGCTAAGTGAAGCTCGAGTCCCCCAACTAGCTTCACATTAAGCCAGGTTTTCCAACACTTGCTTAGTTATGTAGCAGGCTTTTAATAAATGGCTCCTGGGGTCGGTGTGATAGCTCAGTAGCTGAATCCTTGCCTTACAAGTGCCAGGATTCCACATGGGCGCCAATTTGGGGCGATCCAACAAGATTCCTGTTAGTGGCCTGGAAAGCGGTAGAGGATCAGCTCAGCTCCGGCCAATGTGGCCACTTAGGGAGTGAACCAGCAAACGGAAGATCTTTCTGTCTCTCCTCTCTTGTAAATCTGATCTTATTTCCCAATAAAAATAAATCTTAATGTCAAGTCTCTAGTCAGCATCTAACAGAAATAGAGTGGGGGTGGCTTGTCTTCCGCAGAAGGAACCCTGCCTCACCATGGGTTATATGCCTAATGAATACTGTAAAATCTTGAAAACAGCATATGAAGCAAATGCATTCAATACACCTAACCTACTGAGCATTATAGTTTAGCTTGTCATATCTTCAAAGTTCTCAGACCACTTATAATACTCAATGGTAGGGCAAAATTGCCCAAGGGAAAGCCTACTTCAATCGAGAACAGCTGCATGCCAAATTCAGGCAAAAGGAAGGTTCTTTGAATCTAGCACACAATTTAAAAATTGCAGTATTTTTAAGCAATTAAAAAGTCCTGCATGATTCAGACAACCTAATTAAGGACAGACACCTAACCACTGACTTCACAGAACACAGAGCCTGAACAAGACGACACTCTATTTAATGGTGCTCTCTCTCTCTCAGTCTGATCAGACCCAAACTGACAAGACAAGCTCACAACGAGCTGGACACACCCTTGCCGGCGATGGGCTCGGGGTCGGGCTCTTAGCCTTTTTGACCGGTACCGCTGGTGACCAGTTTGTGGAGGGCGACTGAGACTGGACAGGGGACGATGGGGCCGGGAGCTTTTGAGCTGCTGGCTCAGGGGATCCAGATGCAGAGCGGGAGGAGGAGACCCTCCTTACAGACTGAGGGCTTGGAGAGGCAGTCCTGCAGAGAGAGGAAAAAAAGCATTTAGCTCCAAGAACAGACATCCCTTCCCAGGACAAAACTACCCACGATAATACACGCCAGGTTACACCCTCCAAATGTCAGAGCACTGGTTGCTAGCTGGCTCTACTGAAACATAAACCACAACTCCCAAATCTCCCAGACCAAACACAACTCGAGCTCCCCAGCTGTGTACCCGTTCCGTTAGTGACACTGCTGGCAATTCCCTACATTTGATTTCAGACTGCTGAGGCTAAAGTCACACATCCACCATGAAAAATGATACCACTAAAAGTCAAACAAAATCCCAGGGCACCTAATCTATGCCATAATAAAATATCTGGAAAATTGAAAAGAACCTGTGAATAACATCTAAAATCCGCCCTGTAAGTGTATTCATAGCTCATGCCTGTTTCTTTTCAGTAAAAAAACAGAAACCCCAAATCCAGGGATGGGGGCAGTGGCAAGCTGCTAAACATGAAAGATACAAAGTATCCCTAACCAAAAAGCATCAAATATTTTTACTTTTTTGTCTTTTTAGGTTCCGGAGTCCGGGAGACTCTCCTAATGGGCCTAGTACTTGGAGACGGAGACTGCCTTCTTTGGGGTGAAGATGACGGTGCTCTCCGCGCAGGCGGGGGGCTGGAGGAGGGCTGAGGAGCGCGAGGCCGAGGGGATGGCGAGTGCCGCTTGTTCGGCTGTGGTGAGCGGGCTTCCCGGGCAGAGCGGCCTGGGGAAGAGCCTTTCCTAGGCTTGGATGACAAGGAAGGTGACCGTCTCTTGGTTACTGGGGAGCTTCTCGGCTTGGGCGGTGGAGACGGCGACACCCTGCGCTTTGGCAGGGGTGGAGGAGAAGCCGTCCTTCTCTTGGGCGGTGGGGACGGGGAGTATCTCCTCTGGATTGGAGGGGAGTATCTCCGTGGGGAAGGCGAGCGCCGGCGAGGGGGCGGAGTCGGAGTCCTAGGGCAGACACACATCAGTCAGCTGACAGTTCTGACAACTGAACACCAAACAAGAAGCTATTCTGTAATTAGCACCAGGCAAAAGCAAGGTTATTTGTAAGTGGACACATTAACCCTTTTATATCATATAAAACTAATAAATCAGTAAATTTGTTTATTTCAGATGACTCCATTCTGGTAAATGGAGGAATTTGTATTGCTTTGATGTTCACTAATCAGCTGTGGCTCTGGAGCACTTTGAACCAGAGCTGACCACCACCACTGCCAAGCAGAGGCATCTCCAGTGAGACCTCCAGCCTGACGCTTCATCCACACAACCCTGACCTACTTCCTGAATTAGGATGCCAATGTAGTGCTTAGGCCCAGCTGCCTAATTTGCTCTTAAAGGCTCTGAGCTTGAGTTATTGCGCCAGCAGCAGCTTTGCAATAAGCCTTCCAAGCAGGAAGGTGCGCTTCCACTGCTGCAACTGGGCACAACCTAGTACCTAAACCTCCACGTCCTGCAAAGCAAGGTCCCAGGATGACCACAGCTTCGGCACACAGAGTAGCCAGCCCTTTGCTGAGCACCTGCAGGCACTGAGAAGCAGCAGTGGTCATTACAATGCTAAGTTTGACAAATGTTACTAAAGCATTTTTTGGGGGAGGGAGGTATTCTGATATGAGTTAAACCACTGTTTGGGCCTGTATTCCATAGTGAATGTGTTTCCTGCCACTCCAATGAAGGATGATGGCTCGAGTCCTTGAGCTCACACACGTGGGAGACTCAGGGGGAGTGCCCAGTTCCAGGGGGAGTGTGCCCAGCTCCTGGCTGCCAAGGCCACTGTGGGGAGTGAACCAATCAATGCAATATCTCTTCCTCAATCCACCTTTCAAATAAATAAATAATTTAAAAACAGAGCACACAAAACAATCCTTCCAAAGCTTCTGCATTTCCATTCCTATTGTAAGACTTACAAAAAAGCTACAAAATCAATTGAATTTATACTATAAAAGTCCAAACTATAAGACTTCTTTCCCCATTACTCTGCCTCCCAAGTAAATAAATAAATCTTAAAACAACTAATTGAGCATGTTACCTAGACACCAAGTGAAGATAGTAGCAGGAGTCCTGAATATAATAGTACCTTTTCTTTTTTCTTTTAAACATTTATTTATGTTTTATTGGAAAGGAAGATTTACAGAGAAGAGACAGAATTATCTTCCATTTGCTGGTTCACTCCTCAAATGGCTGCAAAGGCTGAGCTGCGCCCATCAGAAGCCAGGAACCAGGAGTTTCTTCTGGGTTTCCCATGCTGGTGCTGGGTCTCAAGACTCTGGGTCAAGGCCAGAAGCAGGAAGCTGGATGAGAACTGGAGCATGTGGGACTCAAATGGGATGTTGGCACTTGAGCCAATGGATGGGTCTAGTATTTTTTTTATCATCACAGTACCTTTTACTTGACACATATGATAAATATATTATAAAATATACCCAACTAAAATCCACAAGTCAACAGTTTTAGTTTAGTTGATTCAATGTTTTACTGCCATTATCACTCCCTACCTCAGCCCAGGTACCACTCATCTATCTGCCTATCTATAGATCTGTGTGTTCTAAACATTTCATATAAACTGAGGTCTTTCATTACTGGCCAACTACTGCCACTTCAATGAGCTACTTTGGAAGCACATGGGACACGTACCTTCGTCGTGGTGGTGGGGTCGGAGACCTGCGCCGACGGGGAGGAGGAGCAGGAGAAGGAGAGCGCCGCCTTCTGGTGGGTGGTGGGGAGGGACTTCTCCTCCGTCTACCACTAAAGCAAGAGAACACAGCTGACTGAGTCCACGGCATTTGTGATAACAGGCACATAAGACTTCCTTCCAGCCACACTGATCTCAAGGATGGTAATGGCCACTACCTGTTTCACAGCAATGTTTTCTGTCAAGATACCCAAGAGCACTACCAAAGAAATAATAATAGGAAATTAAGTCTTTTATTTGTGTCCAAGGGAGAAATACTGCTATGTGAAATTTTTGTTTCAGGACCTACTAACACATGTCCCGGGTCATGATGTGTAACATTCTGAATAGCACACGGAAGCCACCATCTGACAGCACTGCTTTGTAACCTGCAGGCATACCAGAACCACCAGGAAGCCAATCAGAAACGGCATCCAAGGTTTCTGGGCTAAGTGGAAAATGTCTTCCTGGTGAAGCTGATGCCTTTTTAGGCAAAGATCACACTGAAGCCTCAGTCAGAAGTCTCAAAGCCCCCACTCATCAGCAGTGTATGACCCAAATCCTGAGGTCATTGCTCCAAGAACGTAATCTCTAACATTCACCTCTACTGTATGGGAGTTATACACTGTTACCTAAAAACACTATCCCAAAGGTAACAGATCAAAATTGACTGAATAGTGTATTCAGTATTGAATTTATCCTGGGAATTATCTAGGCAATATCAGGGCCCTATCATTCTGAGCCCCATTATACACACTTAACAGAAAAAGTGCATCTGACAGATAAATCACCAGCAAACTCAAAATAAAATTAAAGCATATGCCAAGATGGTTTGCCACCCTCTGAGCTTACATTAACAAGACAATCAAACAAAAGGAACCGATTTCTAATCTGTGGCCCAAACTCCTGCCACTGTTCAATTCCCAAGACTTTATTTTCCATTTTAAAGGCGATACTGAAACTATCATTCTTCCATCTCTAAACTCTAGACATCTGATGGCAATTACTGCTGCTATTAACCTGAAAGGACCAGCACAGTTTTCAAACAAGGAAACAACAGCCCAGAGCAGTCAAGAAGCAAGATTATTAGCATATTCACTGCTGGAAAAACAAAACTGGTGTAGGTTTCTATACTTTATTATCAAGAAACAGTTTCCTCCACAGTGTGAATACCCAGAACTTTGCTCTCACAGACACTGCCAACTAGGTCCAAAGGGCCATTCCAAGAAAACACTCTCATTTAAAAGCCAAAACAGCTTTAAAACTGAGCTATCAAGGGAACAATGGGGTAGTTTCAGCAAGGCTTAAAGGCATGAATTCGATTTCTTTGTATGAGGTCTCTAGCATGCCCTTGTTTTATGGGTATATAGACAATGATCAGAAAGTTCAGTGAAGCAAGAACTCACTTCTCTGCTGCTGGGCCGAAGCCTGTGCTCTTCCTTTGCCCCTCCCACTTTGTTTTCCTTGTCTCACTGCTGCCCTGAAGCCACCACAGTCTTTACTATCCAGTAAGTCTAAGGACCAATTGTTTTCCAGATCTCATTAAAGCCGTTTTAGGTCAAACTGAAGCCAATCAGAAGAGGAGTGTTACCCAGATCATCACAATCTGAGCCTCCGTGAATATCCCTGCACACCCTATCATTTATCTGATAATGTGGAAGAAAACCAAGTCAAGACAACCTAAGAATGTCTCCACAGCCATGATGCATCTAACAACGGGAAAGGGCACAACAACAGGGAATCCAGCTGCTACAAGTTCTGACATGGAGCCCTCCTTCACAAAGTTGTGTCTAACCAACCTTTTGGTCACTGGCGATTGCCATCGTTTTCCCATCTGCATCCTGAGAGCAGTGGAGAAAAACAAATGTCAAGAATTCCATTTACTAATTTATGCAATTTGAGGAAGTTTTAAGTATCACTGATGCTTAGGTTTTAAAGTGTTCAAAGATACTCAGGGGTTAACGTTATGAATCATTTTGCTAGTCATGCATACAAATGACATGGTGGGTCTCACTAAACATTAGTCATCCACAAAGAAACAAAAACACCAAGCATCCCTCCCCCACCCAACCATCTTTCCGAAGTGTCTGAAGTGAAGACACTCTTCATTTTCAAACAGCCCTGCAGCCCACTGGTGACATTAAGCACATGAAGATCCCAGAAGGAAGTGTTACCGAGGGGAGGTCTCTTTCTGGCGCTTTCGAGGCGAGGGAGAGGCACTCCTAGAAGGTGAATGTCTCCGCCGCCTGCCTACCTCACCATTCTTCACATGAGATCTCTTGGGGCGCTCATCTTCTGAGGAGGAAGAGGAGCCAGAGTCTGTAATTTACAGCAAAGAAAAATTACATGAGGCCCGTGCTTTTAAAGAAGCTGTCCAAAATTTTCTGAATCAAAGTAGATGCAGCATACACAAACACACATACAAGTTACCAGTTCTGCATGGAAGTGGCCGCACAGGTGTAAAGCAAATTACAGAAGACAAATCATTTCCATGCTCCAATCCAACACAACAAGATGATACAAATATCTCTTAGGAAAGTCAATCATTTTCTAAATAGCTATGTGAAGCTTAAAAACCAACTCAGGGAAGCAGTGGACCCCATAGGTTTAACCCACACTTCCCGGAGTGAGGAGCGTCCGCTCCGGGCACATGCACTGTTGCAGAGTATCTTCCAGGCGCCAACCACCGGGCAAGCTGGGACTGGAATGGGCAGCTCTGCAGCTTTGCTCTTCCTCCCACTTCCGAAGCTGGCAGAGCACTGGGGACTCTCCAGACGCGATCCAGGGAGGTCAGTTTTTTCATTCTTAATCGAATTTTTTTGCTTTTGTGCATTTGTTTGGATTCCACTTTATAAATGAAAAGCAAATAAGGGGGCTAAGGTAGTGGCACAGTGGACGTAACAAGCATCCCATTCTGGAGTGTCAGTTTCAAGCCCTGGCTACTCTGCTTCTCATCCAGCCTCCTGCTAATGCACCTGGAAAGGCAGGAAAAGATGACTCAAGCCCTTGGATCCCTGACACCTGGATGGAGTTTCAAGCTCCTGACTTCAGCATGGCCCAGAATCAACTGCTGCAGCATTTGAGTAAACCAGTGGATGAGAACTCCCCCATGCTTGTCACTCTGACTTTCAAATAAAAATCTAATTGTGTCTAGATATAGTCACAAGTATTGAAGTAAGAAGAGCACACAATTTAAAACCAGGTTTCTGTGCAAACTAATCCAACACAATTCCAGCTCTTTTAAAAAATATTTATTTAGGGCCTGACACAGTGGCATAGCGTAGCAGTTAAAGTCCTTGCCTTGCATGAACCAGGATCCCATATAGGCACCGGTTCTAATCCCAGTGGCCCTGCTTCCCATGCATCTCTCTGCTTGTGGCCTGGGAAGGCAGTCGAGGACGTCCCAAAGCCTTGGGACCCTGCACCTGCATGGGAAACCAGGAAGAAGCTCTTAGCTCCTGGCTTCCGAACAGTGCAGCTCCAGCCATTGCGGCCACTTGAGGAGTGAATCATCGGAAGGAAGATCTTCTTCTCTGTCTCTCCTCTCTGTATTTATATCTAAGTTTCCAATAAAAATAAAATTAATCTTTAAACCAGAGCTGAGCCAATCCAAAGTCAGGAGCCAGGAGCTTCTTTTGGTTTTTTTTTTGTTTGTTTGTTTGTTATGTTTTTAAACGCCACGTACAGATTTCCAAGGCTTTGGGCGTCCTTCACTGCCTTCCCTGGCCACAAGCAGGGAGCTGGATGGGAAGTGGACCAGCTGGGACATGAACTTGTGCTCACTTGGGATGCTGGGACTTGGAGGTAGAGGATTAGCCAACTGAGACATCATGCCACCTGAGTAATCCCAATTTCAGCTATTATTTTGAAGATACACTTGCATAAACATAGAAATCATCTAAGAACCATCAAAAACACAGCTAGTTAAAAAAAAAAATGGTGGTATATTTTTATAGAAAATGTTGCAGCCAGCCAGCAAGCAAGCAAGGAAGTACATTCCATAAGATTAAGCAAAAAAAAGTGTTGATGACATAGTAGAAGGCTTAAAAAGCTTGAATGTGAGTGGTACATAAAACATTCCTGAATTTAAGGTTTAGGGGCTAAAACTGGGGCATCTGGAAAAGAATTACACCTTCAAATTTTATACCAATATGTTATTATTTAAAACAAAAGGCAAATAGCATCAGATATTCTTGCCTGCCAAGGTTTCTAGCAAGCAGATGCACTACTTTTTGGAAGCAGGTTCTCTCACCACACACACGTCTGCAGCTAAGTATAGACTGAGCACTTTTTATCCCAAATGTCTGGGACAATAAGTATTTTAATGGGTGTTTTTTTTTTTTTCAAATTTGGGAATATTTACATGTATAATGAAGTATTTTGAACATGGTGTTGAATTTTAAATTACAAGAAAATTCCACTTGTGTTTCATAGATGCTTGTTATCCAGAGCCCCAAAGTAACCACCAACAGTATGTTTGGTGGGCCTGCGTTCTCTGAACGATCGGGCGTGAAATCTTCAACCTGTCGTCTCAGCCAGGACTCAGAAAGCTTCAGAGTTTGGATTTTTACAATAAGGATTCCTCAACCTGCATTCTTAAATCGGTGAACAGAGGACGAACAGTGCCCCTACCAGATGAAGACTGCTGGTTCTGCCGTCTGTACTGACGCCTCTGCTGCACAGAATCTGCTGCGGCCATCCTGCCACCTTTGTCTTCTTCTGAAAGACAGAGACATTACAAAGTGCTGCTTTAGTGATGCCAACAGAAAGGGTTGGCACATCTGCGAAGGATGGTCTCTTGAATCTTGATTTGGTCAAGCAGTAAACTACTATAAGTTTTACACAAGAATTTAAAATGCCAAATCCAATGTTGATTTAGCCTAACCTTACAAAACAGAATCAAATATACTTACCTAAGACATTTTTCCCAAGGCAATTAAGATATCAGGCATTTTACTAACATTATTTCAACTAATTGCCAAATTCCAGAGATAAAAAAAGTGACTGATGAAATAAACCAAAAAAGGGGGTGAGGGCCAGTGCCATGGCTGCTCCACTTCCGATCCAGCTCCCTGTTTATGGCCTGGGAAAGCTCCTTCTCTCCTTTTTTTCTTTTCAGATTATTTTTATTGAAAAGGTAGATTTACAGAGGAGACAGAGAGAAACATTTCTCATCTGTGGGTTCACTCGCCAACTAGCTGCAATGGCTGGAGCTGAGCTGAACTGAGGCCAGGAGCCTCTTCCTGGTCCCTCATGTGAGCGCAGGGTCCCATCCTTCACTGTTTCCCAGGCCATAAGCAGGGAGCTGTGACACAACCGGTACTCTCATAGGATGTTGGCACTGCAAGGTGGAGGATTAGCCAGCTAAGCCATTGTGCCAGTTCCTGGCTGCTCCATTTCTGATGTAACCCTCTTCTTATGATCTGGGAAAAGAAAGCAGCAGAGGACCACCTGAGGCCAGAGCCCCCCACCCCATTTCATGTGGGAGGCTGAGAATAAGCTCCTGGCTCCCAACTTCAGGTCAGCTCAGTTCTTGCTATTGCTACCATTTGGGGAGTCAACCAGTAGATGGAACACATTTCTATCTCCCTTCTCTGTAAAAATATGCCTTTCAAATAAAAATAAATAAATCTTAAACCAAAACCAAAACCAAAACTTACCCGATTCAGATAATTCAACTTTCCTAGGTTTTGGTGCTGGTGAAGGAGACTCTCTTTTCTCAGGACCTTTATGTTTTGTCACTAAAAAAGAACAAAGGGAAAACACTTAGATACAAAGTAGGGCACATAAAATGCCTTTCTGATATTACAAACACATATACAAGAAAGCAATCAGATTTTGTTTCCTGTAAAGCCTTGTTGCCATTTTCTGAAGCAGAAGCAACAAAGTGAAATGCCTGGTGAAAATTCTGTTGAGTTTAAAATCCTGATCTTCTCACAAGAAAACGAACAGTGAAATAGAAACTAGAATATCAAGGTGTGTGGTACCTAACACTGAGTTAAGTAAACTCACATGCTACTTGAACCTCCCAACCTAAAACTCATGCACACAACTCCAGAGACCTCAACACAAAAGCCGGGGAGGAACCACTACAGGAGGGTCCAGAACTGTGACTTAGTCTGGAAAACAGGAATGACTGGCCACCAAGAGGCCAAAGCGTCCACTGGTAAAAATTTTAAATACTAAGCCTGAAAGATTCTTCCCAAAATGAGATCTACCAGTAAGATAAGAGAGAAACTGGTGTCTCACGAATTAGCAAATGGTCTTTGTTCTTACTGTGTGGCAATCAAGGCAACCTTTGGGAGCTTGCTGTTCCCAAGTGCTGCTTAAGCACTAGTGCTGATCTCACACCAACCCACACCCCCGCAGGTTCACAGGAGACACTTGAGACCTGCAACGTCACCACAGCCCCATGGACAAGCTAGAAACTGAATCCAAGATGATCAGGGCCTGCATTTTGATTCCCAATAACTCCCCTCTCATCTACTACTGTATCCAAATTTTAAGCATTTAAAACACAGATAAAAGCATTGATTTTACCATGAATGAATTGGGAATACTACTTGAGACTACCCTCTTAAAGAATAAAAGCATAAAAAATTTGAACTCTTACAGTCTGTACATGTTTTGTGTGACTGAAACAACACCCATGTACGCACACATATCTCATTTAAGAGATGCTCGTAGCTAAAATTTTGTTAAAGGCAGAATCGAACGGGCAGTAAATTTAGAGAACTAGTTGACAGAACACAGCAATCCTGCTAAAGAGAATCAACTGTACCTCTTCAATGATCAAAATCTTATCAACAATTCCACCTAGTAAGCCATGTGGACCAATCATTGGGTTGGCTAAAGAATGGTTATTAAACATCTAGTTTGTATAAACGATGGCAAGTAATGGGTACAGCACACTGGCTCTTCTGCCTTGCAGTGCTGGCATTCTGTATGGGTTCTGGTTGGTGTCCCAGCTATTCCACTTCCTATCTAGCTCGCTGCCTGTGACAGCAGAGGATGGTCCAAGGCCTTAGGAGCATGGCCTCACGTGGCAGGCCCAGAAGACGCTCCTGGCTTTGGATCAGCTCAGCTCTGGCTATTGTGGCCATTTGGGGAGTGAACCAGTAAATGAAGACTTCCATCTCTCCTCCTCTCTATAAATCTGCTTTTCTAGTAACAGCAAGTGAACCTTTTTCCTAAAGTGTATTTAAAACTATTCTAACAACTGCTAATAACCGAAACAAATGTTTTTCATCATTTGAAGCTGTTTTTCTAGTCTATATTCTCCACTTTCAAGTGTCACTTAATCTTCAATTCCTGACAAGATATCACACACCCAATCACCTATAAAGCCTCAGGTCCATGTTACTACTCTGCAGAACCAGTTCCACAACTTTAGATCAGGATGTATTTTCCAGTAAGACTTGTTAAATATGTGGTTACGCTCACAAGACAGTCAGTACTTGCTCACTTAGTAAGAGCTGGACTGTGACCGCTACATATTTTCCCACTGGAAATATAGAAGTTTTATCCTGATCCAGTCTCTCACTAATGGCTTAGATAAAATGGTCTTTACTTATTAAGGCAAGTTATACATCCAGACAAGTACCTACTACAAACCACTACTCTTATATGAGTGACAGCATTAACATAAGCGACGTTTCAGGCTTCTGGTTTTTTGAAACATACCATTTTTTAAAGGATTTATTTATTTTTATTGGACAGAGAGGAGCAGATAGAGAAGAAACTTCCATCCCATGGTTCACTCTCCTAGCGGCTGCAGTGGCTGAAGCTGCACTGTTCTGAAGCCAGGAACCTCTTCTAAGGTCTCCCATGTGGGTGCAGGGTCCCAAAGCGTTGAGTCTTCCTCGATTGCCTTCCCAGGCCACAAGCGGGGCCACCGGGATTAGAACCAGTGCCCATGTGGGATCCTGGTGCATTCAAGGAGAGGACTTTAGTCACTAAGCCACCACACCAGGCCCGAAACTTGTATCATTTCTTATGCCACGTGTTTTCAATATTCAAGAAGCAAAATCATCTGAAATCTAAGCCAACTGTAAAACCAGATTTTTAAGTTTACTTCAAGTTCTGTTTTAACTATTGATCATTCAGACTGGCCCAGTTATTTACAAATTCACTGTGACCAGAAATGTAAAATAACCATTGTCCACATAGCATAATCCATACAGCCAAATTAACCAAAATAAACTCAAAAGTGCTGGTACCACCCCAAATTCAGTTCCTGTTAACATCTCCACTGACTGTTCCCAGGAAGGCAAAATACCACCACATTCATGAAGATAGTAACATGCTGATGGTTCTGACGCTTCCCTAAGGCACAGGAGTCCATGCGGTATGTACCAAGTAATTTTCCTGTAAGTTCCCCCAAACTTTTGCTCCCTCCTTTCCCTTCAATGGCCCACTACCAACAGCAGGGTCCCAAAGCCAGGATCGGTGGCCACTACCTGAAAATACAAGTGACATGTACCTGTCACATTTCAGGACTTTCCCTGCTCTTGAGCCTAGAATGTCACAGAGCCGTTTCTGACACTGATGCCAGACACATAAGTTAGACAATTACCCACCCTGTCTCCCATCTCCCTCCTTCAGCAGTCAGAGGCATCCCAGTTAAGAAAACTGGGCAAAGTACACATTAATTAAGAATGAAATATCACATCCTGTATTTCTGGGTAGTTGGGCTTAACCCAAAATTTCATCACAGGGCTGCAATCATTTCAACACATTCGGAGAGACTTTCTGCTGAGTATCTCAGACCAGAATTCTCTCCAGCGCATAGCAGGCAGCCTCTGACAAGTGTCCACAAGGTGCCTGGTTGGGCAACTTACCTATGTATGTATCCATTGTGTCCTGTTTCAAAAAGCATACAACCAAAGGGAGAGAGGATGGCAACTTAGCCTGCTTTTAAAGAGGTTCTTAACAGTGTGACCAAAGTTTCAGTCCTTCTGCTCAGGTACTTGAGACTATTTATTTAAAAAAAAAAAATTGTAACTTGAGTTTGCCAAGTAACAGGTGGACATACTCATACTTCCCCTAGGGAGCTTTCTGGTTCCAGACAAAGGAAATAAGCATTCCTAAACGCAAATTTCACAGGAAAAGGCAAAATACACTGGGGCACTAAGAATCAGATCTGGACAGTGACGGGAAACCATGGGTGGACTAATATCTCCCAATTTCAATTGAAAAGTTACAGTGTACAAAAATTATAAAACCACTGATTCCAAAGCCCTCCCACCCCAATATGTGACTTTAGTCTGAACCTGCCAGTGGAAGGCTCCTCCAGCTGCTTAAGTACTGTGCACTGCCTGATGCGCCATGGGTTCCAAAGGCTTCTCTTACTCAGCTAGGCCTAGAGCCAACGCAGAAACATGGCTTCTTCTTAATCATACATCACCCAATAGCCTAAAGGCTAAATTTAAAAAGTAATAATCTACAGATGGGGCCTGGCGTGGTGGCGCAGTGGTCAAGGTCCTCGCCTTGCACACCAGGATCCCATATGGGCACTGGTTCTAATCTTGGCGGCCCCGCTTCCCATCCAGCTCCCTGCTTGTGGCCTGGGAAAGCAGTTGAGGATGGCCCAAAGCTTTGGGACCCTGCACCTGCGTGGGAGACCCGGAAGAGGCTCCTGGCTTCAGACTGGCTCAGCTCCAGCCGTTGCGGCCTCCCGGGGAGTGAAACATCGGATGGATCTTTCTGTCTCTCCTCTCTGTATATCCGCCTTTCCAATAAAAATAAATCTTTAAAAAAAATCTACAGATGAAACTGTAGATTAGAAACTCTGGTCTCATCTAGTTCATCAAAACTTTGCCACCCCTATTTTGTTGTTCCTACCCTGAAATTTTTAGCACGATCTGCCTCAAAATCCAGTAACTACAGCAGCTTTTAAGGTTCTCTCCTGCTTCCCTACGACTCCCTTTTCACAGCGTCTGGTTTACACCAGCCCTAAGAGTCAAGGCTCAATATCAACGGATCCTAGAGTTTTTCTCCAAGTATACTGCATGCGCAACTCATATGCTTCACTCGGACTAACATGGCAGTCTACTTGCCTGGTAAAATCACAGATCATCAATTCCTCAGAATTTAACCCGTAGGATACATATGGGCAAGACTCAGAAGAACCCTGCCAAAGGCCTAAACTAAAATAAAACCAGCTCTGAAGACCCTATCATGTCCTTCCCTTGAGACCACAATGCTGCCATGAAGAACTGAGAGAGAATATAAAGTCATCAAGTAAAATACCAAATAAGAATTCTGGGAGGCAAAAAGTTAATTAGCCTCAGAGTCACAAAGTGCAAGCTTGACACAAAAACATCCACCTCAATAAGTTGCTCCAACTCAAACAACCCACGACAGATACCAAGCTTCCCTCCTGTGCAATCTCAGAGAGCACTGCTAAAATACTAATAAAAATAATAATAATAATAATAATAAAGACCTTGGAGCAGATACACTGCCCCTCAGTGGGTGGCACAGGAGTCTACCTCAACACATCTGGAGACACAGCGAAGCAGGCAACTGACAACGACCATTCTGCTCCGAGAGGGCGGGGATTAGAGCCAAGCTTCACAAACCAGATCTTTACCTTTCCCAGAAGTCCTCCCTGGAGACACAGAGACACGGCTCTTCCTTGTGCGGCTCGACTGCTGGGGTGTCGGGGAATGGCGAGTTTTGGGGGGTGGGCTTGCAGGAGGCGACGGCCTGTGCCTTCGCCTCGGTGGACTTGTCGAAGGAGACAACCTGCGAGTTTTTCGAGGGGGACTGGATGTCCTCTTAGGGGGCTTCTTGGGAGGTGACCGGGAACGAGATGAAGAGGATGATGAACTGCTCCCCGACAAGGAGGCTGACGAACGCCGCCTTCTGTGAACAAAGGACTCACATCACTGACCCCGCACTTAAACATGTGACCTCACGGGCATGGACGCTTTTTGTGAAAACGCAACTATTTTCACCCAATTTCTGAGTGTATGTAACTATGCACACAGTGAGTCCCCCAAAAAAAAGAAAAAAGGGGGAAACAAAACTAAAACCAAGAACAGGAAAACAGCTAGTTCTGAGGCTAGATAGTGTTTTGCTTGTCTCTAGTAACAAAACTTGCAAGGCTAAGTTCTGTGATGGAATGCTAATCTTTCTTCCTTAGGAGTGATCCTGGTGTTCTGGAGTTTGCACACAAAGTCTGCGTGGTAAAGCATCTTTCATGTAGTAACACAACATGAAGCAATTCTTAGGTTGCATTAAAAAATGTGGAAGATTCAGAAATTCCTATAACTATGTAAACTTAGAAGCAGGGGCCTCTCGAATTCTGCGGCAAAATCAGTGTTAAGTTCTGTGGCAATTATGTGTACCTGCAGAATTCACCTTTGGCAGAAGAGTTCCTGAGAACCTGAAAAAAAGAAACCCTACCTTAAGCGTGAGACACAAACTGGCTGAAAGGGAATCTTACACAATCTGAAAATGGCTCAGTATAACCACAACATGCTGTGTGCACGGGTCTGGTCCGAGACGAGCAGCAGCTCTCCTCCGAGAGCAGTAACCAGCTTTAGGAAGGACGGTGCCTCAAACGGCATCATTTACATGACGGATCTCTTCCACAGTAGCATATTAACACTGCTAATAACAGTTTGAAATACCATGGCATTCCTTCATTCCCCAAAAAACTGTACTTCAATAAAGTGTAAGACTGAAAACACGAATGTAAAGTAAAAACAAACAAAAGAAAACTTTATGGTGATTTCATGCTCTCCCTCTGTAAACTCAAACAAGCCTGTCACAGAACAACCTGAAGATTAAGTAACCACAGTTCTTGCCAAAAACAGAATTTTATTGTCAAGGCAGCACCAGAACTGTTACTGAGGTATGAGGCCTCACCTTTGAGCAGATTCAGCTATAACCTTCTTGTTCAGTGATGGATACAGTCTAGATTCAAACATTTTACTACATGGCTGCGATTTTAAGGGGGAAAAATACACTGGTATTGGCAGGGTTAGATTTATACCTAATCTCTAAAAGAACCACAAATCTGATATTCAATCTTATAACTACTTATCACTCCTACAATGCAAAAAAAAAAAAAAAAAAAGAAAAAGCCTTAGTTCACAGCAAAGGGACTGCTCTGATGTTGCACAAGTGGCAAACTGAAGCCCCAGAGAAGCTCATCAATTCCCTCACTTAGTAAGATTTCATGGTAGTCTTAAATTGGTAAAAATTAACAGGAAAAAAAAAGGGTGTTTAAAAATGTTTCTGATCTTCCAATGCCGGACTAGACATTTTTCTTAGCGCAGAGAACATCAAACTGATTCTTCAGAAGCCATTCTCTAGATACTCGAGTGCTTTCTTCCTCTGAGTGGCTTCAAACACAGGCTGCTGCCCAACTACGCAAAAGCCAAGTCTCACCGTCTGACTGGAGACCTACTCCGCCGGTGCCTCGGTGGAGGTGGCATTCGTCTGGGGGGAGTTCTTCTGCGAGGAGATGGTCGCCTCCTGGGGCTTGGCCGCCTCCTGGGTGAGTAGGACCTGCCACAAGAAACAATTAGGATCTGACTAAATCAGGAACCACCAGTGCTTTGATGGTTTTCCTGACAGACCACAATTAAAAAAAAAAATTCAAATATCACAATTTTCCAATTGCGTAGATTTTAATAGTACAAAGAAGTAGACACATTTTTTTGGTGGAAATTCAACATTTATAACAGACAAAGCCCAAGACTTTTTTGACCTTAAAACTACAACTCACCTCGATCGGGATCTATGGCGCCGCCTAGGTCGAGTGTGAGAAGGAGAGCGAGACCGTGTCCGTGACCTTGACTTGGAACGTGATCGAGATCTTGCTCTGGTCTTCTCTTTTTCCTTTTTGGAATTTTTTTCTGGAGAAGGTTCTTTAGGTTCTGGAATAGGTTCAGGCTTGGGAGCTTTCAGTATGTCACTGTGGAAATAAAAGCTTGTTTTTCTTTCTACTCAGACTACCAAGTCATAATACAATGATCTAATAAAGTTTACTTATTTTTTAAAATGTATACTTTCAAAACTCCATGCAAACAGGATTTTATCTCTGAAGAGGGGAATATTTTTTGTCTGTCTTCCAAGGGCCAATGGGTATTTGTAACATCACATGCAGGCCATACAAAATGATCAACTTAAAAATTAGCCTGCCAGGGCCTGGCATGATGGCTCAGTTGGTTAATCCTTCCCTTGCAAGTGCTGGCATCCCATGTGGGTGCTAGTTTACTTCCCACCCTGCTCCTTGCTCCCTGCTTTCAGCCTGGGAAAGCAATGGAGAATGGCCCAAAGCATTGGGACCTTGCACCAGCATGGGAGACCTGGAAGAACTTCCTGGTTTCAGATCACCTCAGCTCCAGCCATTGTGGCCATTTAAGGAGTGATCAGCATATGGGATGCTGGAATGAAAAGTGGGAGTCCCCACAGATTTTTTTTTAAAAGGTGCAGTTATATACTGAGAGAAAAAAAAAAATCAAATCACAGTACATACAATGTCCAACAGTACAACCAACATACAACAGTGGTCATCTTTTGTGTATTTTTACTTTCCCATATTTCAATTTATCTTCCTCTAGCTAATTCTGAAAGAAAAAAGTTCTAAAATTTAAAATCCAGAGCCAGCACATTTGCACTCGCTCATAACTGAGTCTTATGCACTTGCCTAGTAGATGTGGCTTCTTGGACTGAGGGTTCTTTGACTTTCATGGAAGGTTCTGGGAGCTCTGGAGTTTTCTCCTTCTTTTCTGGAGCAGGAGAAGGGCTCCGACTCTTGGTTCTGTGGCGGGGAGACCGAGAATGACTGCGCTTTCTCTCTCTCCTGACAGGGGAGGACCGTCTTCTAGGGGAAGGAGATCTGGATTTGCGTCTAGGATGAAAGCAGTTTTTTCAGGTTTTTGAACAACACGGCTGGGGGAAAGGGTCAAAGGGAGTAACAGCACTGTCTTTTTTTATCTGCAGCGTTCCCTTCAGAAGTAACACGCCCTTCCTCACATACATGAGGAAAAGGTACGAGAGAAAATCAGAAAAGCAAAAAAATAAAGACACCATTCTCAAGTTCCATCAGTTCTAAGAGTAAAGCACTAACTTGGAACTCCTAACTAAAGGATCATTCAACAACCAACCTTTCAGAGAAAAACAGGATGCTTAAAACAGTAATATTTCCCTAACAACAGATTCACCCCAGCAAACCAAAGCGTTTTAGACAGATTACATTAGGATTCATCAGAAAGCCACTCAGGGGCCAAAGCAAGGATCCCTCCTATCAAAGACTGGTTCTTCAGTGGAGAAACACATCCAATTTGCACAAGATAGCTCTATTTCTGGAAGAGGAAAGGCCCTTCTTCCTTTTTAAGAGGAATCTGCCTAACTTTAAGGTTTTTAAATTATTTACATGATGCAAACAGCCAACATGAGTTATCCAGTCATGGAGTTATCACTATGATGATTGGTGCTTTACCCAAAAACATGGTTTCCATAACAAGGCTGAAATATAGTATGAAATATAAATGAAAGGGACAAAGAAATCACCTTGTCTCTTTACAAATTCCAGTAGAGAATTGTCAAATAAGCAGAACCCTAAAAATGGAAAAGCCTAATGTAATAATTCTCACCTTTCACCATAAATACAGTAGAGGCTGAGTCGAGGATTTTAAAATGTGAACCTAACAATAGTCTCTTTGGAAAGAAGAGGAAAACAAATAAATGATCTGAAGTTTGGTTTCAGTACAACCATCTAAGAGAAGCAGAACAGGGGATTAGGTAAGTATTATATGACTAGCTGATGAGTATAGATTTCTAATAAAATGGAAATGGCAAGAAAGACTCAATTAGTGTACATTAAAAAAATCAGTGCTATATTAAACTAAAGCAATAACGAAGAAAATTCTAAGAGTTTGATTTAGGAATCAGAAGCTGAATAGCTCAGTGAGATTTTAGAGACAATCATTTTAGTCAGGTGATCCATGTCAAATAAGGCTAAGAGGTCTTTAGCCCGGAGGCAAGCCTCAGCTTGCCATGAAAATTGTATGAGGGAAGATAGTCCCAACAGTGCTGCTGGGAGACGCCCCCGCAACTACCAAAGCTTCCGCACAGACTCCTAAGAGCTAATGCACTCATGGCACGTTAGGAAAATGTCTTTTGGGGGGTACCTTCTCGGGCTTCGAGACCGCTCCCTTTTTTCTCTGCTGATTTCTTTTTCTTCCTTATCCCTCTTATCCTTGTCTTCATCTTGTTTTTTCATGGACGCCAATTTTTCTTGTTCAATCTGTAAAAATTGAGTTTTCAAAGTAGACATAAAAGAACATTTAACAACACACAAACTGAAAGACTATTTCCCATGCCTGATAAACACCATGACTCCCATTATTACTTCACAAGTCTCTGCTTCTGACAAGGCTGATTTTGTCACCCACACTACAGGTATCTATAAAAAATCAGTACTACAGCCTTTTGTTCACAAATGAATAAACAGCTTGCACTTTTTGCATTTATCTTAAGCTGGGTGTATTCACACTAATTAAAAAAAAATTGGGCCCATTTGGTGGCTCAACAGGTTATTCTTTTACCTGCAACACTAGAATCCTGCATGGACACCAGGCTGTAGTCCTAGTCCTGGCTGCTCCACTTCTGATCTGCCTCCCTGCTCATGCACTGGGAAAGCAGAAAATGGTCCAGGTCCTTGGGCTCCTGAAGCCACGTGGGAAACACAGAGGAACCTCTACGCTCCTGGTTCAAACTGGCGCAGTCCCAGCCACTGCAGCCATTTGGGGGAATGAAATCAGTGGGTGGAAGATCTGTCTCTCCTTCTCTATAACTACGTTTCAAATAAAATAAATAAACCTTAAAAAGAACAAAAAAGGGTCCAGCACAGTATCTTAGTGGCTAAAGCCCTAGCCTTGCACAGGCTGGCATCCAATATGGGCACTGGTTTTAATCCCGGAGGTCCAAAGCCTCGGCACCCTGGAAGAAGCTCCTGGCTCCTGCTTAGAATCAGCTCAGCTCTGGCCACTGCAGCCACTGAGGAGTGAATTGGCGGATGGAAGATCTTCTCTGTACATCTAACTTTCCAATAAAAATAAATAAATCTTAAAAAAAAAAAAAAAGCCGAAAAAAAAAAAAAAAAAAAAAAACCAAAGAAAGGTAAACAATTTAAAAATCTACCATCTGACTGGGATCTGGGTTGAAAAAAGGAGTGGTGAGCCCAAGCCTAATGTGTGTTCCTAGCTACTCAGCTCAGCAGCAACACCAAGCAATAAACAATCCTGGGTGAGTCCCATCAAACTGAAGCACGTCTAGTCTGATTTTGTCTAGTCCCAGACAAATCAACAGCTCAAAAAGGCACCATCACCTGTCTCTGTTTTATTTCTTCCTTCTTCAGTTCTAAGAAAGCAGAGGGGATCCCAGCGATGTTTTCTTGTGCACTTAACAGCAGGGGCCACAGTTCTCCCATAAACTCTCTAGCATTTTTTCCATTCAAAAACCCAGTCAAGTTGATTTGCATCATTTTAGAGTCTGGATTCTGCAAAAAGACATGACAGGAAGAACTACAGGTCACTTTGAAACAAACCAATCCACCAAAACTGCATTTAAATTAGTATTTTAAAATTCTATCATAGGGGCTTAAGTACATAAATATTCTGTACTAGCTTAAATATCTACAGTAGCTCAACACTACAATCTCTAGCAGATTGCCAAACTCTCCCTCACTCTACCAAAAGCATCAGAGCAGCTTGTTAATCCTCTGTGGATTTCCTAAGTATTTTTAGACTATGTGGCTGTTAGTGGGCCTTACATACGTTAACTAAAAGCCATCATGGGATACCCACAAATTTTTGCACATACTGAAAAGAAAGTACTTGGCTAGAAATTTTCCCCCAGTGAGAAATGGGACAGGTACATTAATAACTATTCACTTTTCTATTAATATAGACAGACAGCCATCTATAAATTATCTATTGCCCTGGCAAGAAAACTAAGGAGTTATGCATGCATTCTGTAACTCTGAAGGCTAAACTGAAAGCATCACTTCTACAAAAGGAAAATCTATCATAACAATGCCTCAAATTCTATTCTAACTGTCCACAAAGGGCTAAGAGGTCAAGACTCCTCAAAAACCTTTGGGTTCTTAAATACTACATCTGTTGGTCAAGCAACAAAGTCCGTATGACAAGCACAGCTCAACAGCACAAAGCAAGTACAGATTCCAGGTGTCTTCAGTTTCTTCTTGGAACCTTGGGGCTTTGGAATCGCCAAGTCCCCTGTAGAGAAAGATGGTCCCTTGGCTGGCTTCCGACTCCCTACTGCAACTCAACCACCTTGAGTTTAATGTTATATCATTTATCTAAATTGCAAAAGACGAACAAGCAATAATGAGTACACAACCACAGAAAAGGAAAAGATTGTTTAAAAAGTTCTAAACTTTAATCTCATGCTCACTACAAGGGGATTACTACTTAGGTTTTAAAAAACGCACTAAAACACAAATCAGTAAAGCATTTCTCCAATAAAATCTATCTTTAATTATAATTTCAAAATTTTCCTCCCATGTTCCTGGCTTTCTAAATAACATTTATATACTTTACAGGAAGTGCTTTCTTAAGATTATTCTTTACAAATATTTAAAATGTAAACACCAAATTACTTAAAAATAGAAATACCTTATCAGTTGAAATGTCAACTGTTCTGTCAAAACACAAGAGGCGAACTCTTCGGGAAGAGGATTAATGTAAAAGTAAATTCACATTAGCATAGCTGCAAAAGGGTCACATGGCACATCTTAACTGTCTTTCAGTTGCCGTGACAAAATAGCAAAGCATCTTAGAATAAAATGCCTTTAAACAGCATTTTTACCATGGTCTCATGTTTGAGCAAAGGAACAATTACATTAACTGGCTAGAACAATGCTGCCAATTTATTTGTCTGAAGTTTAACTATAAACAAAAATCCAGTGCCTAAGAGTAATCGACTGGCTGACATGCAGCTACAATCAGACTTCAGTTCCTTTAAAAAACATCCAAACCAATCAGAATTGCCCCTCATGCTTTATATAAATGTCCAGCTCATAACAGTGTTTTTAAAGAGCAGTGTACAGTTTTACCCAATTGCTCTTTCCTGTTTGTGTTTGTTGTTGTTGTTGATGTTCGGCCACTTTACACAACTCACCTCCAAACACACACTGCATCATCAAGGGAGTTGGGTCAGAGCGACATTGGGGCACTCACTCTGCTGTGACCTAATAAGGTGATGGTGCTATACTTCAGACGCAAGGAATAACTTCCATTTTGGTTCAGGCCTTTTAAATCATAAATCACATCATCATTAGAAAATTGCTGTCAAAGTAACTTAACATGTAACAGCAAAATTACAAACAATAAGTTTGATTTTTCACCTGTGTAGCTTTCAAAACTATGCACCTTCACTAAACTTCCAGCCTTAATATTTGTTTACAAAGTGAATTCTTTTCACAACAAACATTGTTAAATAACCCTCCTATGTTTGTACTCCACAGAAAAAATTCAGTTTCATAGATTCACAAATTATTTCACATATTCAGAAATAAGAACCATTTGTGTATTAGTACCTTCACTTCCAGCTGGTTGAATATAAACTCAATCACAACATCATCTTCAAACCCAAGGATTTCCGTTACTCGTTTTGTTATCCAAGGCTTTATGACCTCCAAATTTACTTTTCCCATGTCCACCTGATGGAATATGCAAACAGCCATTGAGTACATTGTTCCCAACCCTAAAGAAAGTTCAAGCACTCACAGTTCCTTAGAGCTTAGGAAAAGTTTGTCTATCATGGTACAACCTGCGCATTCTTATTTGATTGGTAGTGTCTGTGTGGGTAAAGACGGCAAACGTTCAGCACTGAATTTTCTCTTTTGTACTCGGGTAACACTGCATCCTCAAGAATCCCAAAATGTGTTAGTCAACTAAGGAAAAATAGTCTAATCCAGAAGGATACCTTTTTCTCTAGGCATTCTGCAAACTTCAGCTGCTTCAGTAGTTTCTTCTGTTTGTTGCTGAATCGATTATCCTGTTCCGCGCTTGTCCCCTGCAGGAATACAAATACAATTTCCTAAGGGTACAAGGTCAAATTCTAGCCTTTTATCAACTAACAATGGCTAGGACTTTCACAATCAAAAAATACCAACATATAATATGCATAAATGCAGAATGTGTACTTTTCCCCAACTTTCAAAGCCAGAACATTTTAAGATTAAAAAGACAAGCACAGCAGTTTGTGGCTACCACAACCACTTTTCACAGCTTGCCTACAATAACACATATGCAAAGCTTTAATTCAAACACGTGAAACAAGCTTCCCCCTCTTCTGAAGCCAGCAGAATCCCTGTCTGTGACAACATGCATTAAAGGGAAGACAAGGAGCACCCTGTTTTGTGCTACTCCAACAATTTGAAATGCACGGAAAACATGAGTTTTACCTTAATAAACCCAAAGGCACTGAAGAAGTTGGGTAAATGTTAGATCATCAAGCAATCAGTATTTAGTCTTTGGTCGTTCTTGCTCCACTGGCCCCATTAAGCATGTTAATTACTGGTTATGTGATCAGGAAGGTACTGACTGGTTCACTGAGTTGACCACAGTTCCTTGGAAAGTGATCAAGCACAGGGTTTGGGAAGATAAAAGGATCTGGATTAGAATCCCTGCTGTCACTACCGGCCACCGCCTCTCAGAGCAAGTTACTCAACCTGAGGCCATTTCTTGATTTGCCGAAACAGGGACAGTGAAATCTATCTTGCAGGGCCATTTTGTCCACCAGAAATGATACATATGAGGTACCTGATGTGTGACAGGAACATAGGAAATGGAAAAAAACCACTGATCTGAACTCAGTTTATGATCTGGGTTGACAGTGGACTAGAGACAGCTGCCACAAAATTTCCCATGTAAATTCAGGCATGCCACACACAGAACACAAACACCAAAAAACCCCCACTTTCACAGCTTTTACAGTCTCAAAAGCAAACTCAATTTAGAATTTACTTAGCCAGTTTAAAAAAAAAAAAAACCGGGCTTTTACTTGTTTTGAAATATTGTACACCACAGGAAATACGGACCATTTACTACAAAATACTTCCAATGGAAATTACAAAATAGATAGCTGATGGCCCCGCCCCATCAGCGGCGGGAAAAATTTGTTAAGTACACTTAAAAATTATCATTTCATAAATAACTACGGCTGTTTACAGGATCTGAGACCATTCAAATAACGGGCTCGGGGTCAAGGTCGGGAGCAATACTGCAGCTTCTGACGAGAAAACGGCTGGGACGCTAGAGCATTCCAAAGCACCCTTCGCAGTGACGGCTTCCCCTTCTCCAACTGTTTCTTTAAAAATTGCGAACTGCAAAGTACAAGCCGCCAAGGGGTTGGAAAGAGCCACCCCAGACTACATAAGGTGGGAGATCTTGGTTTTCAACAACAGTCGGGGGTCGGTGCAAGCACGATGAGCTGGGTCCCCGTCCTGCCTGCAGGGGACTGGGAAGTGGGGGGTCCCCGGGAAGGCGCCGATCCACGCCTGCTGCACCGTCCGCCCTCCTAGGCCCCACTCCAGACGATCCCAATCTTCCTGCCCGCCGGGCTATCAAATTGGGCGGGAGCTGGCGCGAACTCTGACCCGGCGCCTTCGCGAGGGTTCAGCATCGGGAGGAAGAGGCGCCTGCTCTTCTCAAGCAAAGATTCCCCCTCTTTCACACGGGGCTCCCTGCTCCGCTCTCCCCACCCAGGGGCTGCTTGCAGGGCCACCCCAGGCCGCACCCGCCGGGTCCCTCCCCGTCGCCGGTCACCTCGGGCCTCCCCCCCTACGGACTTCCTCCTCGCGGCGCCGCTAGGCCCCAGGCCCTGGCGTCCGGCGCGGGGCTCGGCCCGCAGGCCCGGGACTCGCCGGCAGCGACAGAGCGCTCCAACCCATTCCCGCCGCCATTTTCCGGCCGCCGCGTAAAGGAGGGGGACGATCCCGGAGGAGGAGACTGCGCAGGGGCGCACCGGTCTCCGCCGCAGCGCGGGGCTGAGTGTGGGGGAGCGTCCGGCGGCACCGGGAGCCCTCCGGATTCCCGAAAGCCTCCCTCGGCGGGTTACCCAGGCCCCGAGTGAAAGCCTCCTGCCGACGCTTTCCGACCCGTCGCTCCTCTCCCCGCCAGATCCCCGCGCTTCTACTTACGCGGAAGAATCCCGCGTCCATCTTGCTGCCTCGCTCGGAGATCGCTCCCTATCCCAGCTTGCACCGCGCCGCCGCGACGGAGGGCGGGACCCGCAGAGGAAAAGCCGAGCGCCGGGACGCAGCGCGCGCCGCGCCGTCCGCCCCCGCCGCGGACACGAGGCCGCGCCTGCTCAGTGTGCACGCCGGCGGCCGGCGGAGCGGGCTTCTGCTGAGGCGAGGCTTCGCCGGCAGCCAATGAGAGCGGCGAGCCGGCAGCCGCAGCCAATGGGGAGCCCTAGGGGGCGTCGCCGCGTCGTCCCTCCCGCGAATCCTTTTGTGGCGCGTGATCAGCCTTGTTCTCGCTGTGTGACTTGTCCCATCGTCCGACCCGTAGCTCAGGAGCCCTCCCGCCCGGGGAGAGGGGTGGTTCCATAGACCGATTAAGGGGAAAGAAAAAAAAAAGGTTTTTACCTCAAAGTGACGCTGGGGAGGCGGCCTGCGTGCAAGATAGAAACCCGAGGCCTTCCGCCGTCTTTGTAAAAAGTTGAGAGAACGTGCTTTGGGCCGTGTTTACCGTTACTAGGGTTGACTGTAAAGGAGCAGAGCTGTGTAAATAAAAACTAGAAATGCGCTCTAACCAACGGGCGAGAGAGGCCCGCGGCCCTGGGGCTGCCACAAGTGGTGACTGAGGGCGGCCGGCAGAGCCCCCAGCCCTGCCACCTCAGAAGCCTGCAGGAGTGAAGTACTGGGTCTTCTGGCCTCTTACTTGGAGGAAGCCTGTCTTCCTTTCCCGAAAGGCCTTCTCCGGCCGTCTTCTGAGAACAGCCGCCAGACCTGGCCAGACCTGAGCTCCCTCGGCCCCGGTTGTGCCACCCTTGGGGGCCTTAAGTGCCCCGTTAGCCCTGTGTGCTTCCATCACAGGCTTCTGCATTATTACCGTTGTTATATATACATATGTAGAAATGCAGAGAAAGAATCTTACCTGTTGGATCTCTTCCCAGTGGCCTGCAACAGCCAGGTCTGGGTCAGGCCGAAGCATGTGCCTGGAAATCCGTGTCTCCCACGTGGGTAACTGGGGCCCAAGACTGGAACCATCTTCCCCTGCTTTCCCCTGGCTCGAGGGCACCTTAACAGGGAGCTGGATGGGAAGAGGGGCAGCCAGGACTCCACCTGCGCTTGGCGGTCTTACAAGTGTCAGGTGCTGTGCCACAGGCAGTGCCTGTCCTGATCTTCAAGCTCACCAAGACAGAGGCCAGCTGCCTTCTCCATGCGGACACCTGGGAGATGCCAAGAACTTGGCCCGATCAGATCGAACTCCGTACCTACCCAAGGTCTTCTGGCCTGCCTCGAGAGAGCCCTATCTTTGTTTTCATAAAGGACACACGCTTGGTGATATTCTCCACCTGCCACTGCCATGGGGGAAGTCACCATCTCCTGTGCCAGGCGCTCAGCGCTTCTCGCTGCTGCTGAAGCAATGCTGTTCGGTGTCTGTGCTGACAGAGTGAGTCTCTTCTACCGAAAATGTTCCTGTGTCCTGGTTCTTTTTTTTAATATTTAGTTTATTTTTTATTGCAAAGTCAGATGTACAGAGAGGAGGAGAGACAGAGAGGAGGAGAGACAGAGAGGAAGATCTTCCGCCCGATGATTCACTCCTCAAGCAGCCACAATTGCTGGAGCTTCACAGATCTGAAGCCAGGAGGCTCTTCCAGGTCTCCCATGCGGATGCAGGGCCCTGGGCCGTCCTCAACTGCTTTCCCAAGCCACAAGCAGGGAGCTGGATGGGAAGAGGGGCCATTAGGGTTAGAACCGGTGCCCATGTGGGCACCCGAGGCATGCAAGATGAAACTTCAGCTGGTAGGCTATTGCACCAGGTTCTTTCTTTTTTTTTTTTTTTAAGATTTATTTTTATTGGAAAAGCAAATTTACAGAGAAGGAGCGACAGAAAGATCTTTCATTCACTGGTTCACTCCCTGTGGCCACAAAGGCTGGAGCTGAGCCAAGGCAGAGCTAGAAGCCAGGAGTTTCTTCCAGGTCTCTGCCTCAAGTGCACTTCTAAGGCTTTGGGCCATCCTCTACTTCTTTCCAAAGCCACAAGCAGGGAGCTGGATGGGAAGTGGAGCAGCCGGGACACAAAATGGTGTCCATATGGAGTGATGATGCTTACAGATGGAGGATTAGCCAGTGGAGCCATCGCTCTGGCCTCAGTGTTGTGACTCTTAAATTCTTTAATTCTTTTTTTTTTTAACATTGTTTTCATGGTTAATAGGCATGCAAACCCATGTGGGTCTCTGATGAAGGGAGAGTTGAGGTATGGAGGAAGGTGGATCGGACAGATACTTCCATTTTTTTTTTCCTCTTGTGTCTGAAGAGGAGGTGGACTGTTTGTTGCTGGTGAATCTGAGGATGTGGGACAGCTTTGTGATGACACCTTAGAGACCCTGATGTGGGGAAGAGTGTTCCAGTGGTGTTGAGTGGTTTTGATATTTCTGAGACATCATCAGCTTTGCTGCCACAGGTTGAGAAAATCTTCCCAAGGTCTGTTGGCTGATCAAGTCCACCTCAGAGCATTGACAGGCCAAAGAACATGTTTCAAAGAGAGTGGTCCAATCTGATGAGGCACTTGATGTCCTTTACTGGCTTAGATGAGCTAGCTGTCATTCCCCATGTGCATCTGGACATGCTATTCACTGCACAGGCATTAGCAACTGAGGAGGCCCAGTCCAAGGTCTGACCACACACCCTGTGATTTTCCCTGTGGCCAGGGTTTGAGTCCAGCCATCTCTTGGGATTCCCACAAGAACTCTCACCTGGGGTGACCTCAGACTTGACTCTTGTGTATGCCGACTAGTGCAGTGTCAGGTTTAATCTCTCACCTACACCAGCCACCACGCATACTGGTAGATGCAGCTGCCTGGTCAGTTTTGTCCCCAGTACCACCTGTCATGCGAACTGGTGGGTGTTATTGCCTAACCAGCCCAGCATGCCAGGTCCAGTCTTCATCCACACCAGTGAGTGCTGCAGCCTAGTCAGGGTGGTGCTGGGGTCCGTGTGATGGATGTGGAAGGCGGGAAGGTGTGAAGAGTATCGTTCTATTGCAGGCAAGGTCGCAAGGAATGTCCAGCTATGTGGCAAGGCCCGGGGATGTCTCTACAACACCTGAATGTAGCTCTGCCTCCCTTTGCATGGACACCGGACAACCCCGCTGAGTATTCTGTAATCTATTTAGGCATTGTCTGCCTCTGCGGAGTTACTGTTAAATATCAATAGGAACTTAGAAGCTAATGTTGCTGGTGCCGTTTTTAGCCAAAGAGCTGTTATTGCTGTTAGGACTGCATCCTGTGGCAATATGTTAATCAAGAGTGTTAAATCCCCCTTTTGATCCTATGCTAATCAAGGGTGCTAACCCCCTTTTTTGATCCTATGCTAATCAAAGGTGTTCTGTCTTCAGGTGTAGTGGGAATCTATTCTTTCCCTCTTTCTTTGATCTTTTAGGCCCCTTCCTTCCTTGACTGTCTCAAGACCTAGCTGTAAAGTAATTGTGGTAGGAATGTGCTACTGACTGATATGCATCATCTATTGAAAACCTTTTTCTAGCCAGGTGCCAGGTGAATAGCAACCTAGCCTTAGGTGAAACTAATGGCAGAGTTATCTTTAGAAACCCCCGCTTGACCATGACGTAAAAAGCCTGAGCCAGAGTTTGACTGATTTTGTATAAATAAAGCGGACAGCTTTTGTGCGTGGTCCACGATGGTCAAGAGTTCCTAGTGGTCCGTCTCTTTCTTTCTTTGCGCCTCATCCAAGCACCCTTCGCGAGTTCCGAACTCAGCTGGAGCTGGACTCCGGCAGGGTGGCCCCAAATAACCCCCACCAGACTCACCCCCAGCTTTTGCATGTGGTGGGATGTGCTGTGGCCTAGTGCAGTTTGTCCCATATCCCATTTGGTTCTTGTGCACACCCATGGGTGCTGCAGCTAAGCTCAACCTGACCCACTCAGCCCACATGAATGCCAATGGTGCTGCCACCTTGTGCAGCCTGGCCCGCCCCCAGCTCTGGCTCCTGTACTCACTATCGTGAACTGCAGCCTAACAAGAGTACCCACAGTTTCCCCACAAGGCCTGCTACCAGCTCCAGATCTTATGCCTA